GGCATAAAACTTGAACTTAGCCAGTTTTTGCCAAGTATTTTAGAAAATAAGTTCATACCTATAATATTGCAGGAATAATAATTCAATTTCCCTAAGTGCTGGGATATTTTTTCTGAAAAGTATATATCAGATCAAAACAAGTTTGGCCAAGTCAGGTTATAAAAACATGTGAAATCTCTTAGGCAACAATTCCAATAAAATAATTCAGGATGGAACTTGTCTAAAAGAATAAACCCCTGGAAGGGAAGTCTTACATAATCCACATATAGCATCGGCAGAAATATTATACCTGACCTTGTTTATTGGTTAAAACCAAAAAAACCTTCTGAATCCAAACTTCTGAATAGTTACTTATCCTAGGTGCCAATTCCAGAAAATAAAAGGAGATGTAGTTTGGAGTTGCTCGGAGAATAAAAAGAAAAAAATCCAGGATCATTGGTTATACCACAATAAAAGCATTAGAAAGAGTTAACTTTCTTCACACATCTATCTCAAACAAAGAAATGTTATACCTTTGACTTAAAATAATAATCTTTACAACGAAGTTGAAGATAAAAAAATTTCCTGTTCAAACTGCCATTTAGTGATTGTGGGAGTAAAGACATTATGTATAATATGCTCAGCTGCAGACTTTATGACCTATGTATGTTTCATGTCTGATAATAATTATAATAATCACAAAACGACCAGATGAACAGACTAGTTCATGTAAATAATGTGTATATAAGAGAAAGAACATGACTTTTCAACAGCTATATAGGCTATTTTGGAGGTCAAGTTGAAGGAAAAGAAATTCATTAAATGTAAAACAAGTCTATGAAAACAATTATATTTTTCAGATTAAGAAAACTAAGGACAAACCAAGCTTGTTTCATAGTATGATAATTATTTTTATATTATAGGCCCATTTGTCTACTGAATAAGGGCTTGGGTTTACATGCTCCATCACCCAGAGGTTAATGGGGTGATTATGGGGCAGGGGAGAGAAAATTGTTGGTTTTACTTTTTATTTTGAGACAATTGCAAGTTCACTTTCAACTGTATCAAATAATACAGAGAGAGAGATACCCCCTTCACCTAGTTGCTCCCAATGGTGACGTCTTGCATAATTCTTATACAATATCATAAGGAAATTGATATTGGTACATATATATAGTAACTGATCTCAGTCATATCTCACCAGTTATGTGTGTACTCAAATGAGGGTGTATTTAATTCTATGCAGTTTTATCCTCTGACAGACTTGTGTGACCATCACCACAGTCAAGATACAGAACAGTTTCATCACCTCAAAGATCCCTAATACTACCCTTTATCTGCCTTCTTAACTCCTGACAAGTACTAACCTGTTCTCCATCTCTATGATTTTGTTATTCGGGAACGTGACACGAAGGGACTTCAGCAGTATATAACCTTTTTTTCACTTGGCGTAGTCTTTTGGGATCCATCCAAGTAGTTGCTTGTATCATAGATTTGCTCCTTTTTATTGCTAAGTACTATCCCATGGCATGGAAGGTGTTCATGTGCAGGTTTTTGTGTGAACCTAAGTTGTAATTTCTCTGGGATAAGTAGCCAAGAGAGTAATTGGTGGATTACATGATCACACAAGCTTGGTCTTACAAGAAACTACCATACTCTTCCCCCGGGATGTGTGTACCATCTTGCATTCCCACCAGCAATGTATGATGGGTCCAACTTTTTTCACATCCTCTCTAGCATCTGGTGTTATTGCCGGTTTTCTTTTTAATCTGAGCCACTCTGCTACGTGTGTAGTGATATCGCATTGCTTTCATTGTCAATTCTAAAAATTCTTCACCTACTCCTAAGTCCCAATGATTTTCTCCCATATTTTATAGAAATTTGATAACTTTATAGTCTTAGGTTTTACACTGAAGTCCACGATTCATTTTGAGTTAATATTTATTATTTTGCAGTGTGAGGTTTTGGTTGCAGTGCTTCTTTTTGTGTGTGTGCTTATGATGTTCAATTGCTCCAGCACCATTAGTGAAAAACCTCCAGTGAACTGATTTTGCACCTCAAAATTCAGTTGGGTATTTTTGTGTGGGTCTATTTCTGGGTGCCCTGTCTTCCACCAATACCACGCTCTCTTGTGTTGTACCATAAGCCTCCATATTGGAAGGGCTGTTTCTTTTCCTTTATTCTTCTTTTTCAAAGTGTTTTAGCTATTATAGGTCCTGGGCTCTTATATCCAGAGAATATTTTAGATTCACAAAACTGGCCCCCAGAATCAAAGAGATATCTAACCCTTTGAGTTAACAATGAAACTGTACGGTCTTGTTCAAACATACTTTTTTAAAAAAGAAATATAACTCTTTCTATAAATAGCTACCCACAGAATATTATAGTTGACTTTCATCATATGTGCATTAAACTTTATATATATGTGTTAACTTTAGACCTTACCCCCAGTAAGATTGCAGTTTGTTTTATTCAGTCTTCCTAATGATGAATTCCCAGTAATTAATAATATATTCCTAATAATATGTTATTATTTACCAAACTTTAATATCTAACATAATGGAAAAAACCCTGCAGGCAAGAAATATTAATCGTTAGGGTTACCCTATTCATCCCCCAAACACGTAGAGATTTAACAGTTATCTTAACTCAGAATGATTTGATTGCTGCCCCTTTACACGTAAACTTTCCTTTCTCTCCTTCCTTTACCTTGATGGTTCTCCAACTTTATGTTGAAGATTATGGTTAGGATTTGCATGTACATAACCACATATCCTGTACTATAGAAGAAATTTATAAAATTTTCCA